CAGTAACTGGCTGAAGGCTGACCCAGGGAGCCAAGTGGCCATGCCACACTGCCTGCGCCGGACAGGACTGGACAGTGGCACCCTGGCAGCCTGCGTAACCTGACAATAAGGGCCACGCAATGACAAATGGGAGAAGGACAGACAGTGACAAAGACCCAGCCCTCTCCCCTGGCATTGTCACATGGAGGAAGTGCACCTGTGGTTTAGCCTAAGAGGAAGGAAGAGGGGATTCTAGTGGAAAGGTATCAATTTCCAGCTCCCACAGAATGGGGTCTCTGTCCTCCTCCCCTATTTGATGCTGGGGACTCACACCTACCACAAGGAAGGGCACAAGGAATTTTCTCAAGGGAGTTCCCCCAAACTGAGACTGACCAACCTTGCCAGTCTGTACAATATACTGGCTGATGGCCTTGCCTTAAGGGCCCCCTTGGTCACTTCTGTCCCTACTAGTCCAGGATCACCCCACTTGGACCCCAGCTGTGCTCGCCAATGCCACAGTCAGTGACTGCCATTTATAAGCCAACCACTGTCACGTAAGCCCCGGAAATACAGATGTGAAAACAGCGGTGGGCTTTCTGACCACCACCGGGAGCTTTCCTAAAGGCGGAATCCCTGAAAGGCGTGTTGTTGGCGAGGAGGTTGCTGCATTTGGCACAGGGAGAGGGTTGTAAACATCGAGGAGACGTCACAAGTCCAGAAGAATTTTGCTCTTAGTGGCCCTCAGGGATCTTTTCCATTCTCTCCAATGGAAAGACATGGATAATGGCAGTATACAAATATAGCCCTGAGTGGTGCGGACTGTGAACCTTGCAGGTGGTCTGTATATGGAGAAAACTGTGGAAGTCTGCACAGTCGACTCACATGCAAAGGGCAAGTGCTGTCTCTACATTAAAACATTGGCAGGGGGGGGGTGTCTGCTTCAAGTGTAAGCACAACTTTCAAGGCTGTATCTATAAATCCAACACATAGCCATTAAGTCCATCAGACGCACGTCAACCCCCACATAAGGCTGTAAATCCGTACAGGAGCATCTTCATCTTTTTCTTGATATATATTATATGCGTATGCTGTATACAATCCACTAGATACAAGAGTAAGTTAAAAAGAATAGCTATGAAGGTTCTCATTCATACATGTTTGGCTCTCATTCATACATGTTTAAGCATGCCTCTGTAATCAGTGGATGGTTGTAGACAAGTTCTCTCGGTACTACAACGCACTTATGATTGGTGCCTTAAAAAAAAAAAAGGTGTAATTCTAGGGGATCCGCTGGGCCAGGGAAACTCAACACAGAGGGTTTGCATCAGAAGGTATAGCAACTGTTTGGGGGAGCTTCCAAAGGGGTGGTCTTGCTACATTTTCTTTAAAAAAAAATACAGGTCCTCCATGGAGACTTGTTATGCAAAACATTTTAGACCACAGCATGTACACGGATATAGATAAGAGCTGGAAACACGGGGAATCCAGGACAGATAAACCCCTCAGGACCAATAATAAGAGTAGCGATACCAGGAGGGTAAGGGGA